ATGGTACAGGTTTGCCAATACAAAACGCAGCCATAGATTCTTCAACTAACCTGGTATTGGTGATACTCTCTTTCCCTTCGTTCCCGATTCTGGAAAACAGTTATCTTATAAATGTCCGTGGCCAGTTGCAGGTGGTTCTACAAACACCAGAGAGAACTCTAAGATAGGACATGTATAAGAGAACTGTTTTCCAGAATGGAGAATGAAGAGAGTATCACCAATACAAGGTTAGTTGAATAATCTATGGCAGCCTTTTGTATAGGCAAATTTAGTGCTGAGCAATTAGGTTAGTGCTTTTTGAGGTTGGTTCGATTTGATTATTTTTTTTAAATGTTTTTCGATTTCAAATTTTTTTTGTAACATTAAATACAATATGCATTATGTGGGTTGAATGCTGTAACAACACAGAATAAAATAATTAAAAGTCACATGATGGTAGTGACTGACAATGACTGCTTATCACTTATTAACCATCATTTATTCACATTGCTTTAATAAAATATTTCACTTGTGTATATTGTTTTATTTGATTACATTATTATTTCATTCCAAGTCATCATCTCATCTTTATAGAGCTGCTGCCTATGCTTTCTGACAAAATCACTATTTTAGTAGTTCTTCAAGGTAAATAAGGCATACTTTGACTGCTGAATACCAACTATGAATCACTTAGAAGAATGCGCGAGAAAATACATGATCTGTCTCTTCTCTTAGTAGGTGTAAAAGAAACACACAGACCGGACAAGTAGGCTTGCAATGGATTATGGTCATTGTAGTTAATTACCACGTTTTCTGCGATAAACTATGTAGAATATTGGCCTGTTGGAAACTACAACCCCCTACTACATCTCACAGTTCGGGCTTGATCTGGTTTATCTCTAGAGAAACTGCGCAATATGCGCATTGAGCTCACAAAAAAATATATATATATAATATGGAATTAAAATAATTGAACCAATTTGTTGTTTAAAAACAGTCTTTGGTTATCACATTATCTGGTGTAAAATCTGTAGCTAACTCCCAACTAGGCCTATTGACAGGGATAATGTGGCATGTCTTATTTGTCAGTATGAATGAAATTAGTTAGTCCTGCCTTCATGACTGTGACCTTTACAATATTTAGATAGATTTATGATAGCTAAAGCTCCCTGTCCCTGAGTGACATACTAGTGATAAAGCTATCTGCTCCTGCTAGCTAGCAACAGGTCTACTTGTTGTAGCTAGCTAGCTACATTGCTAAGGTTGCTGCATTCTAAGTAAAGTTGGGAGTTGTTTTACAGCTTTCATTGATGGTATCATGTTTCTATAACTAAATAGATTACAAATATTTAAAAAATACCCATAGCTGTTTGTCGGACGGAGATCTCTCTCGAGCTGTCACCAGCTGTGTTTAGTACCTTAGATACGGAGAACATGATTGGCCGACGTAATCAGCAGAGATGGTACCTGGATAGTACACAAGGTTAGATTGGTTTGTTGTTTAGTACTTGGCAGCGTTTGCCTGTCCAGCTAGCGAACATAATAGTACGTTTTTAGAAAAAATGTGGTAGAATTGACATAGCCAACAAACGGAAATGTGTTCAGAATAAATAAATATACACACTATGTAAAAAACAGCTCCCTCGCCAGGGACCGATCATCTCGAAAACTAAAGCAGATATGATGCTTCGGCCCACCACCTACTTTGTCCATTCATATATACAGTCATTGATCCATCCCTACTCCTACCTGTACATACATAAATACCTATATCCATCCCTCCTTTCTTCCTTAAAGGGATACTTGGGGATTTAGGAAATCAAGCCTTTTTTTCTACTTACCCAGAGTCAGACGAACTCATGGAAACCATTTTAATGTATCTGTGTGCAGTTTGAAGGTAGCATATCATCATTAACTTAGCACAATTGCTGGAAGTCACTACGAACTACTAGCCAGCTCCTCTCAAAAGCAGGGAAATAGACGTAACATTTATAGTCTTAGAAAGCTATACACAGTAATCGATATTTTATAAATTCAAACATTTTACTGGTAATCGTAAGAAATTAGGTTATATCCACTTCCTCATTCTGTCCCGTTGTCGTGTAGAGATGTATAGGGATCGCAACGTTGTCTGTCTCAATGGCGCTGCCCGTGCGCTCACAGATGCCATAATGGGACAGATACAACGTTGCGATCTCTATACATCTCTATGCGAAAACGGGACAGAATGAGGAAGTGGATATCATTATCAGTAAAATTAACTTTATTTTTTATATTGATTACTATGTATAGCTTTGTAAGACTATAAATGACCAAAACTCCCAGCAGTTCGTCTGACTCTGGGTAAGTAGGATTTAAAAAAATATCGAGGTATCCCTTTAATATGATCTGACGAGGAAGAAATTGTGAATTGTTTTAATATAGTAATGGGGATCTGAGTCATCCTGTCCTTGGAGTCTCAGTACCCGTTCTCCTCATTCAGGGAAAAGTTCTGTTCTCATCTTGCCAAACTTTCTCAGTAGCTTTAGGTCTAGGCTACGGCTTGGTTTGAATAATCTTTTGTATTGATTTTCAACACAGTTTTGATGAACAATTTAATTTTGGGTTTGTCGTCCAGGTGATTCAGAGAAGGGCGTTGTTAGTTTCTCCCCGGACACAAGGGCCACTGTCCTCTGATTGGCTCGGAATAGCCCCTCTGACATGCCCGTGGCCAATCAGAGGTGAGTGTGCATTGTGTGTGGGGGTATGAGTGTTTGTGCATGCATTTGTATCTGATTGTTTGTGGGTGGGTTTGCTGCTAGTGTTTGAGCGCATACACGTGTCTGCTGGCGTGTGTGTGTGTGTGTGTGTGTGTGTGTGTGTGTGTGTGTACGCACGCAGCACGCATTTCAGTGTGGGTGTGTATTTCTGTGCCTGTGTGTATGAGAGCTGAACTGCTGAGGTTTGAATGTTCTTGGCGTCATTCCAGAGCCTTTCACTGCGACAGTCTGGCACATGTTAGAGAGAAAAACAGCATTGTGTTTGGTCTGTAGTATGATGGATCCCTTTTCAGTGACATATAGTTTTTCTACTCTTTCATCGGTCTGTGGTTGAACAGTAAAGCATTAGTACTGTCATACTACCAGTATGTTATTAATCCCTGGTAGTATGAAGCCCTGGATTTTTTTCCCCTCATTTTGTCTGTCATAGTTGACGTGTACCTATGATGAAAATTACAGGCCTCTCTCATCTTTTTAAGTGGGAGAACTTGCACAATTGGTGGCTGACTAAATACTTTTTTCCCCCACTGTATGTGTTGTCGAGGGGGAGGTGTGTGTTATTAATCCCTCCCCTTACTGCAGGTACAGTGGGGAGAACAAGTATTTGATACACTGCTGATTTTGCAGGTTTTCCTACTTACAAAGCATGTAGAGGTCTGTAATTTTTATCATAGGTACACTTCAACTGCGAGAGATGGAATCTAAAACAAAAATCCACAAAATCACATTGTATGATTTTTAAGTAATTCATTTGCATTTTATTGCATGACATAAGTATTTGATCACCTACCAACCAGTAAGAATTCTGGCTCTCACAGACCTGTTAGTTTTTCTTTAAGAAGCCCTCCTGTTCTCCACTCATTACCTGTATTAACTGCACCTGTTTGAACTCGTTACCTGTATAAAAGACACCTGTCCACACACTCAATCAAACAGACTCCAACCTCTCCACAATGGCCAAGACCAGAGAGCTGTGTAAGGACATCAGGGATAAAATGGTAGACCTGCACAAGGCTGGGATGGGCTACAGGACAATAGGCAAGCAGCTTGGTGAGAAGGCAACAACTGTTGGCGCAATTATTAGAAAATGGAAGAAGTTCAAGATGATGGTCAATCACCCTCGGTCTGGGGCTCCATGCAAGATCTCACCTCGTGGGGCATCAATGATCATGAGGAAGGTGAGGGATCAGCCCAGAACTACACGGCAGGACCTGGTCAATGACCTGAAGAGAGCTGGGACCACAGTCTCAAAGAAAACCATTAGTAACACACTACGCCGTCATGGATTAAAATCCTGCAGCGCACGCAAGGTCCCCCTGCTCAAGCCAGCGCATGTCCAGGCCCGTCTGAAGTTTGCCAATGACCATCTGGATGATCTAAAGGAGAAATGGGAGAAGGTCATGTGGTCTGATGAGACAAAAATAGAGCTTTTTGGTCTAAACTCCACTCGCCGTGTTTGGAGGAAGAAGAAGGATGAGTACAACCCCAAGAACACCATCCCAACCGTGAAGCATGGAGGTGGAAACATCATTCTTTGGGGATGCTTTTCTGCAAAGGGGACAGGACGACTGCACCGTATTGAGGGGAGGTTGGATGGGGCCATGTATCGCGAGATCTTGGCCAACAACCTCCTTCCCTCAGTAAGAGCATTGAAGATGGGTCGTGGCTGGGTCTTCCAGCATGACAACGACCCGAAACACACAGCCAGGGCAACTAAGGAGTGGCTCCGTAAGAAGCATCTCAAGGTCCTGGAGTGGCATAGCCAGTCTCCAGACCTGAACCCAATAGAACATCTTTGGAGGGAGCTGAAAGTCCGTATTGCCCAGCGACAGCCCCGAAACCTGAAGGATCTGGAGAAGGTCTGTATGGAGGAGTGGGCCAAAATCCCTGCTGCAGTGTGTGCAAACCTGGTCAAGACCTACAGGAAACGTATGATCTCTGTAATTGCAAACAAAGGTTTCTATACCAAATATTAAGTTCTGCTTTTCTGATGTATCAAATACTTATGTCATGCAATAAAATGCAAATTAATTACTTAAAAATCATACAATGTGATTTTCTGGATTTTTGTTTTAGATTCCGTCTCTCACAGTTGAAGTGTACCTATGATAAAAATTACAGACCTCTACATGCTTTGTAAGTAGGAAAACCTGCAAAATCGGCAGTGTATCAAATACTTGTTCTCCCCACTGTATGTGTTGTCGAGGGGGAGGTGTGTGTTATTCATCTCCTCTCTCCTCCTCCAGGTGTGTGATGTCAGGGGGGGAGGTGGAGGTGTACCTGTCCCAGGTGCATGATGGGAGCGTGTCCTCAGGGTTCCGGGCGCTGTACGAGGAGAGGCTCCTATTGGACGTCACGCTGCTGATAGAGGAACACCACTTCCATGTTAGCAACACACACACGCGCACACAAACACACAAACACACACACACACACTCTTTCACTAACATGTAATATAATGTTATCCCCTCCGCCAGGCCCACAAGGCCCTGCTGGCGACCCAGAGTGACTACTTCCGGGTCATGTTCACAGCAGACATGCGAGAGAGAGACCAGGACAAGATACACATGAAGGGGTTAACAGCTGCCGGCTTCGGCCACGTCCTGAGGTTCATGTACTACGGTTCACTGGAGCTCAGCATGGTCACAGTGCAGGAGATACTACAGGTAACACACACAGACCTTTAACCCTCTAAGCCAGGGTTATTCAACCTGGGGTCTGCTGCCCCCTAGGTGTCCGTGGAGGTACTGTAGGGGTCCACGAAAATATATGATTTTCTTCCTCCACTGTTTTTATAAATGTTGCTAGCAACAAAAGAATACATTAATTTTGGATTATGTACCTACAGTAGAAAATATGAAAATATATTCTAATGATGTCAACTTTATTTCTCAACTCCTAATATTGAGCAAATTATTCATTGGAGCTAATTACACTCACTGGAGTATCTGACATAGGCTTTGAAAAAGCAACTGCTAGTACCAGTCGCAGCAACTGCCTGTTATGCTTTCTTGACTTGGACCTACTTTTTTTCCAACGCATTGCTAACCTTTGTTTAACCAGCTAAACAGCTGCTATTAGCGAAAATGTGTTTGGAGTTACCTTTCTAGCTAATAGGCTATGTAGAGGTTACATTAAGGGTACATATTATTTTATTGGACAATATACAAACGTTTTTGAAGATGTTTTTGTTGTTGAGTAAATGGATTTATTGGTTCTCTTTTTTTTTTTAAGAGAGATGAAAATGTAATGATTTGAAGGTGATTTGAAAATCTAAATGTACCGATTTTAAGGTTGTCATTCGATTTGGGGTCGCCAGAATTTCTTGCAAAAAAAATGGGGTCCCCAGAAATTCTGCCAGAGTTTTTTTTTGTCCCTGCTGAAAAAGTTACATGCGCCGAATACAACCGGTGTAGACAGTGAAATGCTTACTTACGAGCCCTTTCCCAACAATACAGAGTTAAAAAGTAAGAAAAAAGAAATAGTAACACAATAAAATCACAATAATGAGGCTATATACAAGGAGTACCGGTACCGAGTCAATGTGCAGGGATACGAGGTAGTTGAGGTAACACAGTATGTACATGCAGGTAGGTGTAAAAGTGACTAGGCAATCAGGATGTATAATAAAAAGAGTAGCAGCAGTGTATGTGAAAGTGTGTCTGTGTGTGGGGCGTCAATATGCATTTGTGTGTTGGAGTGTCAGTGTAGTGAGTGAGGGCCCATGCCAAATATTTTCAGCCTCCTGAGGGGGAAGAGGCGTTGGTGTGCCTTCTTCACGAATGTGTTGGTGTGTTTGGACCGTGATGGGTCCTTAGTGTTGTGGACACCGAGGAACTTGAATCTCTCGACCCGCTCCACTACAGGCCCATCGATGTGAAAGGGGGCATGCTCAGCCCTCCTTTTCCTGTAGTCCACAGTTTGTATTGCTGACGTTGAGGGAGAGGTTGTTGTCCTGGCACCACACTGCCAGGTCTCTGACCTCTTCCCTATAGGCTCTCATCGTCGTCGGTGATCAGGCCTACCACTGTCATGTCGTCGACAAACTTGATGATAGTGTTGGAGTCGTGCGCGGCCACGCAGTCGTGGGTGAACAGGGAGTACAGGAGGGGACTAAGTACGCGCACCCCTGAGGGGCCCTTGTGTTGAGGGTCAGCGTGGCGGATGTGCCTACCCTCACCACCTGGGGACAGCCCGTCAGGAAGTCCAGGATCCAGTTGGAGAGGGAGATGTTCAGTCCATGGGTCCTTAGCGTAGTGAAGAGCATGGAGGGCACTATGGTGTTGAACGCTGAGCTGAACGTGGCTAGTAGCAAACGTTAGCCAGCTGGAACTAGCTAGGTAGCACCGGAATTTACACCTCTTGCACCAACCAAAAATAAGACTAGTCATAGCTAGGGCTGTGGCGGTCACGAAATTTCCTGTGATTGTCAAGCAAATAACTGTCGGTCTCACAGTAATTGACAGTTAATTAACATAAACATATTTAGCGTCTCCTGGCTTCCACACATAGCCTACAAACCACTGATGCAGACATTTGGAACATCTACATTTTAAAAAGTCTAATAAATCCATGTAATATAGCCTACACCTTCACAATAAATCCATTATTTATTTTTGACAGGTCTAAAGAAGCATTGTATGAATAAAATGTAGTCTATTTCAGAAGAAGATAATAGCATAAGTTGTCCTTATGTTTTGTCCTGATGTGGCTATGCCAAATGGCTGTGGGCAACACAAGTTCATTTAGCAGACAAGATTTGCTTAGAATTCCGTGGCATTATTTTATAGTATGAAGAATACATTTGAACAAAGCTGAATAAAATATAAATATTTTCTCCAAACGATTTGAGGGAGTGCGCACATGCGGCTATTCTGTGTTGAGCGGTTAACAAAGAAATAGGTACTCCTATATGCTTAATTTGAGTTATTAATGTCATTTTAGTTGTTCTACAAATGTTGGGCTATATGTTTTGATTTTTAATACATTGTAAGTCTGCATGATGAGACTAATGATGATTTGAAAAAAGTTGCTTGAAAGCCATGAGCTCTGCTTTGTTTTTTGCGCAGGCTGTACACACTTCAATGGTCTCTCATTCACAATTTGACAAGCACTTGATAATGCCTTGAATTTCACGGCGGCATCCCCTTTGTGGCCGTAATGCACCCTAAAAAAATCCATGCCTTTTGCGCAATCCGAAGCGCCTCTCACTCACATGGCTCTTCATCACGTGATCAGGTCTTTCTCACAGGCTACAAGTGAAGACATTTACTTTTCGTCAGCCAACAAGATGAATAGGCCTAACGAACAGCAAAAGCACTAGCCGATGTCAATCTACTATCCCCCATAGTACAAAAGTTGACCTATTCTGTGCAATAAATACATATTCCAAACATAGTCTGGGACAGTTGTGGGGTGCAATAGATCCCAAATTAATACAACCACTAGCATAATTTTTTTAATTATTATTACGCAATATGGCTGACGTAACATCAGAACGTTTAGCTTAAAATGTTGATAAACTATTGGGCTATTTCTTAACATTATAAGCGCAGCGATGCGCACATGGAAGTAGGCGATAAGCGCGAATGTTCCATTAGCGGGAAAACCCCATTTATCAAAAGTGACTGCAAATGTGATTATGCATGTAATGCTTTTATTATAAAGGTGTATTTTTATGGTAAAAATGATCTTTCCCGAACTTGAAACTCTCGCGCTGCTTATGTATGCCAGTTAGGCGCTAAACCTCTTGTAAAGCGTATTAATAAATATAGTAGGCGTAGAGGCCATCACTCTGTTTTCTCGCGCTTGTGGAATTTGACTGCCTTCATGACTCATGACCGCCGGTGTGGCGGTAATACGGTCACCGCAACAGCCCTAGTCATAGCTAGGTCCAGCGTAAGCAATGCGCGTTGATGATATTTGATGCTTCATATTGATGGTTGCCGGGCATTGCAAGTTACTAGGCTGTTACCATGGCAGTTCTAAACTTTGCGAGACATGTCACTTCGCCCATCACTTTGCAAAGCTCACCACTATACATGCACGTTTTCTTAACCACAACTGGATGGATCCATAAAGAATTACTGTGGGAATGAATATCACTGAATGACGAAAATATTGGAAAAATGTATTCTAATGCTGTTGAAGGCATGTGTGAAATTGTTGCTTACTGAAACTCCCAAAGTCATCCAACCGTTTAAAATAATTTAAAGCAAAAGCTGCGTGTGGTCAACTATAATTTCAGCACTGTTTTGATTGGGACAGCGCCATCGCGCTGCTTTGAGACAAGTTTAGGGACTCGTCCTGATAAATTAATCAATGTCAGATTTTTGCTTTCACTGAATCTCAGTTTGGATATTTGGTTACAATTAGGCTAGGAAAATGTTAGCTACAGTTGAAGTCGGAAGTTTACATGCACTTAGCTTGGGGTCATTAAAACTCGTTTTTTAACCATGCCAAAACTATAGTTTGTTAAAAATAAATTTGTCGAAAGTCGGTTAGGACATCTACTTTGTGCATGACACAAGTAATTTTTCCAACAATTGTTTATAGACAGAATATTTCACTTATAATTCACTGTATCACAATTCCAGTGGGTTAGAAGTTTACATACACTAAGTTGACTGTGCCTTTAAACAGCTTGGAAAATTGAAGAAAATGATGTCATGGCTTTAGAAGCTTCTAATAGGCTAATTGACATAATTTGAGTCAATTGGAGGTGTACCTGTGGATGTATTTCAAGGCCTACCTTCAAATTCAGTGCCTCTTTGCTTAACATCATGGGAAAATGAAAAGAAATCTGGCAAGACCTCAGAAATTTTTTTGGGGACCTCCACAAGTCAGGTTCATCCTTGGGAGCAATTTCCAAACGCCGGAAGGTACCACGTTCATCTGTACAAACAATAGTACGCAAGTATAAACATCATGGGACCACGCAGCCGTCATACCGCTCAGGAAGGAGACACGTTCTGTCTCCTAGAGATGAACGTACCTTGGTGCGAAAAGTGCAAATCAATCCCAGAAAAACAGCAAAGGACCATGTGAAGATGCTGGAGGAAACAGGTACAAAAATATCTATATTCATAGTAAAACGAGTCCTATATCAACATAACCTGAAAGGCCGCTCAGCAAGGAAGAAGCCACTGCTCCAAAACTGCCATACAATAGCCAGACTACGGTTTGCAACTGCACATGGGGACAAAGATCGTACAAATGTCCTCTGGTCTGATGAAACAAAAATAGAACTGTTTGGCCATAATGACCATCGTTATGTTTGGAGGAAAAAGAGGGGAGGGCTTGCAAGCCGAAGAACACCATCCCAACCGTGAAGCACGGGGGTGGCAGCATCATGCTTGGGGGTGCTTTGCTGCAGGAGGGACTGGTGCACTTCACAAAATAGATGGCATCATGAGGAAGGAAAATTATGTGGATATATATCTCAAGACATCAGTCAGGAAGATAAAGCTTGGTCGCAAATGGGTCTTCCAAATGGACAATGACCCCAAGCATACTTCCAAAGTTGTGGCAAAATGGCTTAAGGACAACAAAGTCAAGGTATTGGAGTGGCCATCACAAAGCCCTGACCTCAATCCTATAGAAAATGTGTGGGCAGAACTGAAAAGTGTGTGCGAGCAAGGAGGCCTACAAACCTGACTCAGTTACACCAGCTCTGTCAGGAGGAATGGGCCAAAATTCACCCAACTTATTGTGGGAAGCTTGTGGAAGGCTACCCGAAACGTTTGACCCAAGTTAAACAATTTAAAGGCAATGCTACCAAATACTAATTGAGTGTATGTAAACTTCTGACCCACTGGGAATGTGATGAAAGAAATAAAAGATGAAATAAATCATTCTCTCTACTATTATTCTGACATTTCACATTCTTAAAATAAAGTGATGATCCTAACTGACCTAAGATAGGGAATTTTTACTAGGATTAAATTTCAGGAATTGTGAAAAACTGAGTTTAAATGTATTTGCCTAAGGTGTATGTAAACTTCCGACTTCAACTGTAAATTGAGGTGAGTGTTCATGATAATCATCTTTAGTCTGGTTTGTTCATCTATTAGCACTGATCAGAACATTTTGCTAGCATGTTATGTAGGCTAGTATAACAACTGGATTATTTTGCTCTTCACTCGCGTAGTAGCCTATATCCCGACCAAAAGCCCTTGACCTGTCTGATAATCAATCAATGTGATTTTGTTTCACTGAATCAATCTCCATTTAGATAGAACAACTTCCTAATATTGAGTTGCATGCCCCTCCCCCCTTTGCCCAATTTTGTTAGGGTATGAACGAAAGCGTTCCACAGGGATGCTGGCCCATGTTGACTCCAATGCTTCCCACAGTTGTCAAGTTGGCTGGATGTCCTTTGGGTGGTGGACCATTCTTGATGCACATGGGAAACTGTTGAGCGTGAAAATCCCAGCTGCGTTGCAGTGTTTGACACAAACCGCTGCGTTTGGCACCTACCACCATACCATGTTCAAAGGCACTGTTCAAAGGAACTTTTGTCTTGCCCATTCACCCTCTGAATGGCACATATACACAATCCATGTTTCAATTGTCTCAAGGCTTAACAAGTATTATTTAACTTGTCCCCTCCCCTTCATCTACACTGATTGAAATGGATTTAACAGGTGACATCAATAAGGGATCATATATTTCACCTGGTCAGTCTATCATGGAAAGAGCAGGTGTTCATAATGTTTTGTCCACTCAGTGTAGTTATTTAATTATTTGATCTCTGGCTGGGCAAGTGGAGGTGGTAGCTCATCTATTCGTTTTTTGTCATCTATCACTGATCTGACAAATTTAACTAGCATGCTATAATGTAGCATAAATCAAGTGTATTGTATTATTTTGCTATTGACTTGCACACAGGCAATTCAAAAAGCCTACGGAGGTTGTGAAATATGAACATGAGACTCCTATCCTTGTGAAAATATAGATTGCTATTATTTTCTTTGCGTATCTTGATAAAGATCATCACAATTTAACACCCTACGCCTGCTCCCTACTGGCGTAGAATCTATGCCCAGGGGTAGCTCGTAGAAGGGCTTACACGCAGGTGGTGCGACGGGTATCATTTTATGCCGGACGTAGAGTTACGACCCACTTATGACCAACTGGTGCAACTGGCCCCAGCAGACTAAGATCTGTCACTGTCTCTCTCCTCACCCAGGCGGCCATGTACGTCCAGCTGACGGAGGTGGCAGAGTTCTGCTGTTCCTTCCTGCTGTCTAAGATCTGTCTGGAGAACTGTGCTGAGATCATGAGGCTGCTGGAGGACTTCAGCGTGGGGGTGGAGGGCGTGCAGGAGCAGCTCGACAACTTCCTGCTGGAGAACTTTGTTCCTCTGATGAGCAAACCTGACTTCCTGCTCTACCTCAGCCTGGAGAGACTGCAGGTGTGGTGGAAGAACTGACTGGCACCCCCTAGTTAACTGTGTGTGTGTGTACCTGAACAGTGATGCTTTGAGCTCTTTATAACAGGTGATATATTCTTGTTAACTGTGTGTGTGTGTGTCAGGCGTACCTGGACAGTGATGCCCTAAGTCGGTTCCCAGAGATAGAGCTGTATGACTCTGTCCAGTCCTGGCTACGACACGACCGGCGCCGCTGGAGACACACAGACACTGTCGTCCAGTCTCTACGCTTCTGTCTCATGACCCCTGCTAACGTCTTCGAGAAGGTAAGACACACACAAAGAGTGTTGCATGATATACTGGTATCATGGTACCAAAAAGTCATGATACTTATGAAACCAACATTTTAGAATACCGTAGTACCGTTTCATATGATACTACCAAGTTTTCCAGCCCTTACCGATCTGAAGAACCTGCTGGCGCCTGTTATGAAATGTTTATAAAGTCAGTTTTGTTTATGCATTCGGTTGAATTTAAGCAACATTGACTAGTCTCTTGTATGCGCTGGTCCAATAATATCCACTTCACTTTCATGCGTATATCACGTGTGGCAGCTGTAATCAGCCAGCCGCATCCCCTACCAGCCCTCACTCACCTGCTTCTCTCCGGCCGCTCTTCATGCTCGTCAATTCCTCCATCAGTTAAAAAATATATAATTTAGCCGTGATGGCGAGCGGGAATGCAGACCCAGACCCTGATGAGTCTTCTGTTGTTAGATTTGTACATTTCTTATTTTGGAGCTGCGTGCAAAGCGATTGCCTGTTATAACCAAGAGCACAGACCAGTCTGAATAGACTTTGAAAGTTCACTGTCATGCAGCCTCTGAGTGTCAGAGAGGGAAAATTGAGCACCGCTTCGCGACAGGCATGCTTGCAGCTTTACAACAAAGAAAACAGCTTGTCTCTAGCCTAAACTGTTAAAAAATATCACCCATATTACCGGAGATGCCTTTCTTTCTTTGTATCGAGATTTACGCGAATTTTATATAATTTCACAAATGTCGCGGGCCGTTTTAAACTAATCCGGGTCGCTAATTATTGGTTTGATAACAAACAACGTTGTTCAGTCATGTTACCTAGCTAGCTAACAACCTGGTAACTGGACAGTAGGTTTAGGCTCATCTGATTGGCCCAGGAAGAAAGGTAAAGGTTATGCTACTCATGAGATGTGATTCAAAAGGTAGGATTCTTATAGGCCTAATGGAAGCCTAAACTATATCAAAAATCGAATGGCGCCGGAGGGGATGGCTGCCGTTTTATGGACTCTTAACCAACTGTGCTATTTTGTTAGTTTTTTCGCATTGTTTGTAACTTATTTTGTACATAATGTTGCTGCTACCGTCTCTTATGACTGAAAAGAGCTTCTGGACATCAGAACAGCGATTACTCCCCTTGAACTGGACAAATAATTTTTATTTAATGAGTCAGACGAGAGGGATTTGCTCCAGACACCCGACAGGGCCCTCATCCCCGTCATTCGCAGTAGAAAGAAAAGGAGATATCGCGGAAGGAGATCGGGGTGCCTGGTAAGGAGCCGGCGACGAGTGGCTAATCTGCCTTTGCCATTGATAATATTGGCCAATGTACAATCGCTTGATAAGAAAGTGGACGAACTACAAGCACGTATATCCTACCAACGGGACATTAAAAACTGTAATATCTTATGTTTCACCGAGTCGTGGCTGAACGACGACATGAATAACATACAGCTGGCGGGTTATACACTGTATCGGCAGGGTAGAACAGCAGCCTCTGGTAAGACAAGGGTTGGCGGTCTATGTATATTTGTAAACAACAGCTGGTGCACGATATCTAAGGAAGTCTCAAGGTTTTGCTCGCCTGAGGTAGAGTATCTCATGATAAGCTGTAGACCAAGAGAGTTTTCATCTATATTCTTCGTAGCTGTCTATTTACCACCACAAACCGATGCTGGCACTAAGACCGCACTCAATGAACTGTATACTGTAAAAGGAAAACGCTCATCCAGAGGCGGTGCTCCTAGTGGCTGGGGACTTTAATGCAGGGAAACTTATATCCGATTTACCTAATTTCTACCAGCATGTTAAATGTGCAACCAGACGGAAAAAAACTCTAGACCATCTTTACTCCACACACAGAGACATGTACAAAGCTCTCCCTCGTCCTCCATTTGGCAAATCTGACCATAATTCTATCCTCCTGATTCCTGATTACAAGCAAAAACTAAAGCAGGAAGGACCAGTGACTCGGTCAATAAAAAAGTGGTCAGTTGAAGCAGATGCTAAGCTACAGGACTGTTTTGCTAGCACAGACTGGAATATGTTCCTGGATTCTTCTAATGGCATTGAGGAGTACACCACATCAGTCACTGGCTTCATCAATAAGTGCATTGATGACGTCGTCCCCACAGTGACTGTACGTACATACCCCAACCAGAAGCCATGGATTACAGGCAACATCCGCACTGAGCTAAAGAGTAGAGCTGCCGCTTTCAAGGAGTGGGACTCTAAACCGGAAGCTTATAAGAAATCCCGCTATGCCCTCCGACGAACCATCAAACAGGCAAAGCGTCAATACAGGACTAAGATCGAATCGTACTACACCGGTTCCGACGCTCGTCGGATGTGGCAGGGCTTGCAAACTATTACAGACTACAAAGGGAAGCACAGCCGTGAGCTGCCCAGTGACACAAGCCTGCCAGACGAGCTAAATTACTTCTATGCTCGCTTCCAGGCAAATAACACTGAAACATGCATGAGAGCATCAGCTGTTCCGGACTACTGTGTGATCACGCTCTCCGTAGCCGATGTGAGTAAGACCTTTAAACAGGTCAACATTCACAAGGCCGCAGGGCCAGACGGATTACCAGGACGTGTACTCCAAGCATGCGCTGACATTTTCAACCTCTCCCTGTTTGAGTCTGTAATACCAGCATGTTTTAAGCAGACCACCATAGTCCCTGTGCCCAAGAACACTAAGGTAACCTGCCTAAATTACTACCGCCCCTTAGCACTCACAGTGTAGCCATGAAGTGCTTTGAAAGGCTGGTCATGGCTCACAACACCATTATCCCAGAAACCCTAGACCCACTCCAATTTGCATACCGCCCCAACAGATCCACAGATGATGCAATCTCTATTGCGCTCCACACTGCCCTTTCACACCTGGACAAAAGGAACACCTATGTGAGAATGATATTAATTGACTACAGCTCAGCGTTCAACACCATAGTGCCCTCAAAGCTCATCACTAAGCTAAGGACCCTGGGACTAAACACCTCCCTCTGCAGCTGGATCCTGACGGGCCGCCCCCAGGTGGTAAGGGTAGGTAACAACACATCCGCCAATCTGCTCCTCAACACGGGGACCCCTCAGGGGTGCGTGCTCAGTCCCCTCCTGTACTCCCTGTTCACGCATGACTGCATGGCCAGGCACGACTCCAACACCATCATTAAGTTTCCCGATGACACAACAGTGGTAGGCCTGATCACCGACAACGACGCGACAGCCTATAGGGAGCAGGTCAGAGACCTGGCCGTGTGGTGCCAGGACAACAACCTCTCCCTCAACGTGATCAAGACAAAGGAGATGATTGTGGACTACAGGAAAAAGAAGAGGACCGAGCATGCCCCCATTCTCATTGACTGGGCTGTAGAGCAGGTAGAGAGCTTCAAGTTCCTTGGTGTCCACATCACCAACAAACTAACATGGTCCAAGCACACCAAGACAGTCGTGAAGAGGGCACGACAAAACCTATTCCCCCTAAGGAGACTGAAAAGATATGGCATGGGTCCTCAGATCCTCAAAAGGTTCTACAGCTGCACTATCGAGAGCATCCTGACTGGTTGCATCACTGCCTGGTATGGCAATTGCTTGGCATCCGACCGCAAGAGGCTTCTAAACAGCTTCTACCCCCAAGCCATAAGACTCCTGAACATCTAATCCAGACTCCTGAACATCTAATCCAGTACCCAGACTATTTGCATTGCCCCCCTCCCCCCTCTTTTATGCTGCTGCTACTCTGTTTATTATCTATGCATAGTCACTTTAATAACTCTACCTACATGTACATATTACCTCGACTAACCGGTGCTCCCACACATTGACTCGGTACCGGTACCCCCTGTATATAGCCTCGCTATTGTTATTTTACTGCTGCTCTTTTAATTATAATTATTATTATTACATTTTTTTAGTATTCTTTCTTAAAACTGCATTGTTGGTTAAGGGCTTGTAAGTAAGCATTTCACTTGGTGCATGTGACAAATAAAATTTGATTTGATTTTAAATCTATTTATTTCTGGTGTGCCTTTAAATTCTGTTTGGTGCCTAACGTTTTAAAAGTTGGGAGCAGTATGTGTGGGAGAGAGAGTGGTGTGTGTTTCTGAGAGTGAGGGAGACAGAGAGAGTGTGTGAGGAAGGGGGGAGTGTGTGTGTCAGTGTTAACTGAAGAGTAAAGGTTTCATGCAGTGTTTTCCCCTTACTGAAACAATTACATTTACATTTCTACATTTTAGTCATTTAGCAGATGCTCTTATCCAGAGCAACTTACACTTAGTGCATTCATCTTAAGATAGCTAGGTGGGACAACCACATATATTCAGACATAGAAAGTAAAAAAATTTGCTCAATAACGTAGCTGTCAGTAGAGTCAGCGCTAGAAGGTGGGTGGGGGTGTTTGAGTGTATTTTTGAATTGTTTAATTTTTAATTTTTAAATTGGGGGGGGGGATCGAGATGAGGAGGAGGATTATTTAAGATACTGTTTGAAGAGGTATGGTTTCAGATGTTTTCGGAAGATGAGCAGGGACTCTGCTGTCCAAGCTTCAGGGGGAAGTTGGTTCCACCATTGGGGTGCCAGGACCGAGAAGAGCTTGGACTGGGCTGAGCGGGAGCTGCCCTCCTGTAGGTGTGGGATGGCCAAGAGACCTGAGGTGACAGAACGGAGTGCTCGGGTTGGGGTGTAGGATTGAGCATAGCCTGAAGGTAGGGAGGGGCAGTTCCTCTAGCTGTTCCGTAGGTAAGCAACATGTTATTGTAGTGGATGCGAGCTTCGACTGGAAGCCAGTGGAGGGTGCGGAGGAGCGGGGTGACATGAGAGAACTTGGGAAGGTTTAAAACCAGGCAACAGTGAGTTGCAGTAGTCCAGATGGGAGAGGACTAGTGCCTGGATTAGGACCTGCGATGCTTCCTGTGTGAGGTAGGGTCATACTCTACGGATGTTGTAGAGCATGAAGCTGCAGGAGCGGATCACTGCTTTGATGTTTGCAGAGAACGACAGGGTGTTGTCCAGGGTCACGCCAAGTTTCTTTGCAGTCTGGGAGGGTGACACTGCGGAGTTGTCAACCATGATGGAGAGGTCTTTGAGCGGGCATGCCTTCCCCGGGAGGAAGAGCAGTTCCGTCTTGTCAAGGTTGAGCTTGGTGGGCCGAAATCCAAGTTGAGATATGTGCCAGGCATGCAGAGATGCATGTCGCCACCTGGGTGTCAGAAGGGGGGAAGGAGAAAAGTAGTTGAGTGTCATCCGCATAGCAATGATAGGAGAGACCATGTGAGGATACGACGGAGCCGAGTGACTTGGTGTAGAGAGAGAAGAGGAGAGGGCCTAGAATCGAGACCTGGGGGACACCAGTAGTGAGAGGACGTGATGCAGACACAGATCCTCTCCACGTCACCTGGTAGGAGGGGCCTGCAAGGTAGGATGCAATCCAAGAGTGTGCATAGCCTGAGATGCCCAGCCCTGAGAGGGTGGAGAGGAGGATCTGATGGTTCACGGTGTCAAAGGCAGGGGATAGATCTAGGAGGATGAGAACAGAGGAGAGAGAGTCAGCTTTGGCAGTGCAGAGAGCCTCCGTGACACAGAGAAGAGCAGTCTCGGTTGAGTGACCCGTCTTGAAGCCTGACTGGTTAGGGTCAAGAAGATCATTCTGAGAGACATGCAGATCATTATGCATGTACAGTGCCTTCGGAAAGTAAAAATCCTCATCAATCTACACACAATACCCCATAATGACAAAGCGAAAACAGGTTTTTAGAAATTTCTGCAAATGTATTAAAAATAACAAGCAGAAATACCTTATTTACATACACTACCAGTCATGTTTGGACACACCTACTCATTCAAGGGTTTTTCTTTATTTTAACTATTTCTTATATTGTAGAATAATAGTGAAGACATCAAAACTATGAAATAACACATATGGAATCATATAATAACCAAAAAAGTGTTAAACAAATCAAAATATATGTTATATTTGAGATTCTTCAAATAGCCACCCTTTGCCTTGATGACAGCTTTCCACACTCTTGGTATTCTCTCAACCAGCTTCAATCAACAGGTGTGCCTTCTTAAAAGTAAATTTGTGGAATTTCTTTCGTTAATGCTTTTGAGCCAATCAGTTGTGTTGTGACAAGGTAGGGGGGATATACAGAAGATCGCCCTATTTGGTAAAATACCAAGTCCATATTATGGCAAGAACAGCTCAAATAAGCAAAGAGAAATGACAGTCCATCATTACTTTAAGACATGAAGGTCAGTCAATACGGAACATTTCAAGAATTGTGAAAGTTTCTTCAAGTGCAGTCGCAAAAACCATCAAGCGCTATGATGAAACTGGCTCTCATGAGGAACGCCACAGGAATGGAAGACCCAGAGTTACCTCTGCTGCAGAGGATAAGTTCATTAGAGTTACCATCCTCAGAAATTGCAACCCAAATAAATGCTTCACAGAGTTCAAGTAACCGACACATCTCAACATCAACTGTTCAGAGGGGACTGTGTGAATCAGGCCTTCATGGTCGAATTGCTGCAAAGAAACCACTACTAAAGGACACCAATAAGAAGAAGAGACTTGCTTGGGCCAAGAAACACGAGCAATGGACATTAGACCGGTGGAAATGTGTCCTTTGGTCTGGAGTCCAAATTTGAGATTTTTGGTTCCAACCACCGTGTCTTTGTGAGATGCGGTGTGGGTGAACAGATGATCTCCGCATGTGTATTTCCCACCGTAAAGCATGGAGGAGGAGGAGTTATGGTGTGGAGGTGCTTTGCTGGTGACACTGTCTGTGACCTCAACCCAATTGAGATGGTTTGGGATGAGTCAGACCGCAGAGTGAAGGAAAAGCAGCCAACAAGTGCTCAGCGTTTGTGGGGACTCCTTCAAGACTGTTGGAAAAGCATTCCAGGTGAAGCTGTTTGAGAGAATGCCTAGAGTGTGCAAAGCTGTCATCAAGGCAAAGTGTGGCTATTTGAAGAATCTCAAATATAAAATACAGTGGGGGGAAAAAAGTATTTAGTCAGCCACCAATTGTGCAAGTTCTCCCATTTAAAAAGATGAGAGAGGCCTGTAATTTTCATCATAGGTACACGTCAACTATGACAGACAAATTGAGAATATTTTTTTTTCCAGAAAATCACATTGTAGGATTTTTTATGAATTTATTTGCAAATTATGGTGGAAAATAAGTATTTGGTCAATAACAAAAAAATCTCAATACTTTGTTATATACCCTTTGTTGGCAATGACACAGGTCAAACGTTTTCTGTAAGTCTTCACAAGGTTTTCACACACTGTTGCTGGTATTTTGGCCCATTCCTCCATGCAGATCTCCTCTAGAGCAGTGATGTTTTGGGGCTGTCGCTGGGCAACACTGACTTTCAACTCCCTCCAAAGATTTTCTATGGGGTTGAGATCTGGAGACTGGCTAGGCCACTCCAGGACCTTGAAATGCTTGGTTGCCCGGGCGGTGTGTTTGGGATCATTGTCATGCTGAAAGACCCAGCCACGTTTCATCTTCAATGCCCTTGCTGATGGAAGGAGGTTTTCACTCAAAATCTCACGATACATGGCCCCATTCATTCTTTCCTTTACACAGATCAGTCGTCCTGGTCCCTTTGCAGAAAAACAGCCCCAAAGCATGATGTTTCCACCCCCATGCTTCACAGTAAGTATGGTGTTCTTTGGATGCAACTCAGCATTATTTGTCCTCCAAACACGACGAGTTGAGTTTTTACCAAAAAGTTCTATTTTGGTTTCATCTGACCATATGACATTCTCCCAATCCTCTTCTGGATCATCCAAATGCACTCTAGCAAACTTCAGACGGGCCTGGACATGTACTGGCTTAAGCAGGGGGACACGTCTGGCACTGCAGGATTTGAGTCCCTGGCGGCGTAGTGTGTTACTGATGGTAGGCTTTGTTACTTTGGTCCCAGCTCTCTGCAGGTCATTCACTAGGTCCCCCCGTGTGGTTCTGGGATTTTTGCTCACCGTTCTTGTGATCATTTTGACCCCACGGGGTGAGATCTTGCGTGGAGCCCCAGATCGAGGGAGATTATCAGTGGTCTTGTATGTCTTCCATTTCCTAATAATTGCTCCCACAGTTGATTTCTTCAAACCAAGCTGCTTACCTATTGCAGATTCAGTCTTCCCAGCCTGGTGCAGGTCTACAATTTTGTTTCTGGTGTCCTTTGACAGCTCTTTGGTCTTGGCCATAGTGGAGTTTGGAGTGTGACTGTTTGAGGTTGTGGACAGGTGTCTTTTATACTGATAACAAGTTCAAACAGGTGCCATTAATACAGGTAACGAGTGGAGGACAGAGGAGCCTCTTAAAGAAGAAGTTACAGGTCTGTGAGAGCCAGAAATCTTGCTTGTTTGTAGGTGACCAAATATTTATTTTCCACCATAATTTGCAAATAAATTCATAAAAAATCCTACAAAGATCTCACCTCGTAGAGTTGCAATGATCATGAAAACGGTGAGGAATCAGCCCAGAACTACACGGGAGGATCTTGTCAATGATCTCAAGGCAGCTGGGACCATAGTCACCAAGAAAACAATTGGTAACACACTATGCCGTGAAGGACTGAAATCCTGCAGCGCCCGCAAGGTCCCCCTGCTCAACAAAGCACATATACAGGCCCGTCTGAAGTTTGCCAATGAACATCTGAATGATTCAGAGGAGAAATGTGTGAAAGTGTTGTGGTCAGATGAGACCAAAATCGAGCTCTTTGGCATCAACTCGCCGTGTTTTGAGGAGGAATGCTGCCTATGACCCCAAGAACACCATCCCCACCGTCAAACATGGAGGTGGAAATTATGCTTTGGGGGTGTTTTTCTGCTAAGGGGACAGGACAACTTCACCGCATCAAAGGGACGATGGACGGGGCCATGTACCGTCAAATCTTGGGTGAGAACCTCCTTCCCTCAGCCAGGGCATTGAAAATGGGCCGTGGATGGGTATTCCAGCATGACAATGACCCAAAACACACGGCCAAGGTAACAAAGGAGTGGCTCAAGAAGAAGCACATTAAGGTCCTGGAGTGGCCTAGCCAGTCTCCAGACCTTAATCCCATAGAAAATCAGTGGAGGGAGCTGAAGGTTCGAGTTGCCAAACGTCAGCCTCGAAACCTTAATGACTTGGAGAAGATCTGCAAAGAGGAGTGGGACAAAATCCCTCCTGAGATGTGTGCAAACCTGGTGGCCAACTACAAGAAATGTCTGACCTCTGTGATTGCCAACAAGGGTTTTGCCACCAAGTACTAAGTCATGTTTTGCAGAGGGGTCAAATACTTATTTCCCTTATTAAAATGGAAATCAATTTATAACATTTTTGACATGTGTTTTTCTGGATTTTTTTGTTGTTATTCTGTTTCTCACTGTTCAAATAAACCTACCATTAAAATTATAGACTGATCATGTCTTTGTCAGTGGGCAAACGTACAAAATCAGCAGGGGATCAAATACTCTTTTCCCTCACTGTAGGCCTTTGAAAATATGAGCAATTCAGCCATTCTATGCAGTATTCTATTATACACTGAACAGTGTGAAGTAAAATTCAATGTGTTGTATTGAGTAGGTTTTTGGAGAATGTTTAGAAAACGTGAACAAGCGTCCGGGGGACGGGGCGAACAGGATACTAGGTCACAGATTTTTTCCCACCGCGGTATCGCGATAAGATCAAATCAAATGTTATTGGTCACATGCGCCGAATACAACAGGTGTAGACCTTACAGTGAAATGCTTACTTACAAGCCCTTAACCAACAATGCAGTTTTAAGAAAAATAAGTGTTAAGTAAAAAATCAATAACAAATAATTAAAGAGCAGCAGTAAAATAACAGTAGCGAGGCTATATACAGGGGGTACTGGTACAGAGTCAATGTGTGGGGGCACAGGTTAGTCGAGGTAATTGAGGTAATATGTACATGTACAGTTGAAGTCGGAAATTTACATACACCCTAGCCAAATGCATTTAAACTCAGTTTTTCACAATTCCTGACATTTAATCCTTGTAAAAAGGACAGTTAGGATCACCACTTTATTTTAAGAATGTGAAATGTTAGAATAATAGTAGAAATAATTATTTATTTCAGCTTTTATTTCTTTCATCACATTCCCAGTGGGTCAGAAGTTTACATTCACTCAATTAGTATTTGGTAGCATTGCCTTTAAATTGTTTAACTTGGGTCAAACGTTTCGGGTAGCCTTCCACAAGCTTCCCACAATAAGTTGGGTGAATTTTGGCCCATTCCTCCTGACAGAGCTGGTGTAACTGAGTCACGTTTGTAGGCTTTCTTGCTTGCACACGCCTTTTCAGTTCTACCCACAAATGTTCTATAGGATTGAGGTCAGGGCTTGTGATGGCCACTCCAATACCTTGACTTTGTTGTCCTTAAGCCATTTTGCCACAACTTTGGAAGTATGCTTGGGGTCATTGTCAATTTAGAAGACCCATTTGCGACCAAGCTTTAGCTTCCTGACTGATGTCTTGAGATATTCACATAATTCACATAATTTTCCTTCCTCATGATGCCATCTATTTTGTGAAGTGCACCATTCCCACCTGCAGCTAAGCACCCCCACAGCATGATGCTGCCACTCCCGTTCTTCACGGTTGGGATGGTGTTCTTCAGCTTGCAAGCCACCCCCTTTTTTCCTCCAAACATAACGATTGTCTTAATGGCCGAACAGTTCTATTTTTGTTTCATCAGACCAGAGGACATTTCTCCAAAAAGTACGATCTTTGTCCCCATGTGCAGTTGCAAACCGTAGTCTGGCTTTTTTATGGCGGTTTGGAGCAGTGGCTTCTTCCTTGCTGAGCGGCCTTTCAGGTTATGTCGATATAGGACTCGTTTTACTGTGGCTATAGATACTTTTGTACCTGTTTCCTCCAGCATCTTCACAAGGTCCTTTGCTGTTGTTCTACGTTTATCTCTAGGAGACAGAACGCGTCTCCTTCCTGAGCGGTATGACGGCTGTGTGGTTCCATGGTGTTTATACTTGTGTACTATTGTTTGTACAGATGAACGTGTTACCTTCAGGCGTTTGGAAATTGCTCCCAAGGATGAACCAGACTTGTGGAGATCTACAAAAAAAAATTCTGAGGTCTTGGCAGATTTCTTTTGATTTTCCCATGATGTCAAGCAAAGAGGCACTGAGTTTGAAGGTAGGCCTTGAAATACATCCACAGGTACACCTCCAATTGACTCAAATGATGTCAAATAGCCTATCAGAAGCTTCTAAAGCCATGACATCATTTTCTGGAATTTTCCAAGCTGTTTAAATGCACAGTCAACTTAGTGTATGTAAACTTCTGACCCACTGGAATTGTGATACAGTGAATTATAAGTGAAATAATCTGTTAGTAAACAATTGTTGGAAAAATTACTTGTGTCATGCACAAAGTAGATGTCCTAACCGACTTGCCAAAACTATAGTTTGTTAACAAGAAATTTGTGGAGTGGTTGAAAAACTAGTTTTAATGACTCCAACCTAAGTGTATGTAAACTTCCGACTTCAACTGTAGGTAGAGTTAAAGTGACTATGCGTAGATGATAAACAGAGAGTGGCAGCAGCATAAAAGAGTAGAGGGGGAGGGGGGGGTAAATGCAAATTGTCCAGGTAGCCATTTGATTAGCTGTTCAGGAGTCTTATGGCTTGGGGGGTAGAAGCTGTTAAGAAGCCTTTTGGACCTAGACTGGCTGACTAGGGTAGCTGGAATCTTTGACAATTTTTAGGGCCTTCCTCTGACACCGCCTGGTATAGAGGTCCTGGATAGCAGGAAGCTTGGCCCCAGCGATGTACTGGGCCGTACGCACTACCCTCTGTATTGCCTTGCGGTCGGAGGCTGAGCAGTTGCCATACCAGGCAGTGATGCAACCAGTCATGATGCTCTCGATGGTGCAGCTGTAGAACCTTTTGAGGATCTGAGGACCCATGCCAAATCTTTTCAGTCTACTGAGGGGGAATAGGCTTTGTCGTGCCCTCATCACGACTGTCTTGGTGTGTTTGGACCATGATAGTTTGTTGGTGATGTGGACACCAAGGAACTTGAAGCTCTCAACCTGCTCCACTACAGCCCTGTCGATGAGAATGGGGGCGTGCTCGGTCCTCCTTTTCCTGTAGTCACAATCATCTCCTTTGTCTTGATCACGTTGAGGGAGAGGTTGTTATCCTGGCACCACACAGTCAGGTCCCTGACCTCCTCCCTATAGGCTGTCTCATCGTTGTCGGTGATCAGGCCTACCACCGTTGTGTCGTCAGCAAACTTAATGATGGTGTTGGAGTCGTGCCTGGCCTTGCAGTCATGCGTGAACAGGGAGTACAGGAGGGGACTGAGCACACACCCCTGAGGGGCCCCCGTGTTGAGGATCAGCGTGGCAGATGTGTTGTTACCTACCCTTACCACCTGGGGGCGGCCCGTCAGGAAGTCCAGGATCCAGTTGCAGAAGGAGGTGTTTAGTCCCAGGGTCCTTAGCTTAGTGATGAGCTTTGAGGGCACTATGGTGTTGAACGCTGAGCTGTAGTCAATTAATAGCATTCTCACATAGGTGTTCCTTTTGTCCAGGTGGGAAAGGGCAGTGTGGAGTGCAGTAGAGATTGCATCATCTGTGGATCTGTTGGGGCGGTATGCAAATCGGAGTGGGTCTAGGGTTTCTGGGATAATGGTGTTGATGTGAGATACTACTCGGTATCGTGATACTTGGCCTGGTATTGTATCGTTTGTAAAATGTTGGTGTTGTGGCAAGCCTACACACAACAATACACACACACAGAAACATACACACACTTACTGACACTGTTGCAAGATGAGTCACACATATGGTTCCTGCTTTTCTTAATGATACCTCTGAATAACTCTTCATCTCCCTCAGGTGAAGACGTCAGAGTTCTATCGTTACTCTCGACAGCTGCGTCAGGAGGTGGACCAGGCTCTCAGCTACTTCCACGACGTCAACGAGCAGCCGCTGGTCGAGACGCGGTCCAACCGCATCCGCTCGGTCCGACCGCAGACAGCCGTGTTCAGGGGCATGATCGGACACAGCATGGTCAACAGCAAGATCCTACTGCTGCACAAACCCAAGGTAAGATCATACGGCTGCACAGACCCAAGGTAAAATCATACGGCTGCACAGACCGAAGGTATGATCCTACTTCTGCACAGACCCAAGGTATGATCCTACTTCTGCACAGACCCAAGGTATGATCCTACTGCTGCACAGACCGAAGGTATGATCCTACTGCTGCACAGACCGAAGGTATGATCCTACTTCTGCACAGACCCAAGGTAAAATCCTACTGCTGTACAGACCCATGGTAAAATCCTACTGCTGCACAGACCCAAGGTAAAATCCTACTGCTGTACAGACCCAAGGAAGAGGCATTAGGCCTACGGGGTGTGGAAACTTTTGTTACAGCCATGCTCTAAATATGTCAGGTGTAATGTTTATTTTGCAACATTATAGACACATTATACACACGATACACACATAACATACACATAATGTGGCTAGAATGTGTCTTTACTTTTACGTTTCTTGGTAAAACATTTACTTGGACGGTGATGCCCCAGGGGTATGTTGAATTACCTGCCATCTTTGCCCAAGAAATGGCTAGGAACCTTAAGGGTTTTGTTGCTCCTGGTGGAAGCATTTTGGTTCAATATGTTGATGATTTGTTGGTTTGCTCACAATCAGAGGAGATATGTCACGAGGACAATCGGCCATTGTTCATTTTCTTAGCAGAAAATGGTCATAAAGTTTCTATAATGTGTCTATAAAGTGTCGAAGTCTGTGGATAATGTGTATAATATATCTATAACGTGTCTATAGCTGTGTTCGAATACCCATACTAACATAGTGTATACTACACTAAACGAACGGTATCCTTTCAGTTGAGTGTACTAGATCTTCGCCTGTCTACTGGAAGTTGATGCTGTTGCTTTGCAACTTCTTGCTAGCTTGTTAGCATAGCTAACAAATTACTAGCTAGACATCTTACGACTTCATTAACAATGTCCATTGAGAACGCACAACGTCTATACCACTTAACTAAGCTAAGAATTACGTGAATAATCAAGTCAATAAACGTTGGTTAGTTAGATAGCATATAGTTAATATACAGGCAAGTTCGACGTATTAGTAGCCAACTAACGAGGTAGCTAGCTAACATACCGGTACATACAAGCAACTGCTGTAATGATATGCTATGTGGTTCGTAAGGATTGCATAGCTAACAAATTGTCAGGCAACATAACGTGGAACCTAACTTATTTGAAAAGTCATTACTTTATTACAGTGCTCAACATTTTCTTAACATAATTAGTTAAAGCAAAGAATTTGTATGCGCTCTCATCGGACTTCGGCTGCATATTTCCTGCCATTTTCTTCAAATCTGAAAATGTTGTGCAGCCACGCCCATTTTCTAAAGAATTGCATTATGGGCCCTAAAAGCACGGAAAATGTGTCCACTGCTTGTATACTACGTATTTTGGCGAGTGTAGTACGACATCAGGGAACTTTTGGCATAATAACTATATCCATACTATGACCAATAAGCATACTACATACTCAACTTGTCTATAATGTGTATGTCTATAATGTGTATGTCTATAATGTGTATAAAGTGTCTGTAATGTGTGTATGACCTGTCTGTAGGTGTGGTGGGAGTTGGAAGGTCCCCAGGTCCCCCTCCGTCCAGACTGCTTGGCCATCGTCAACAACTTTGCCTTCCTGCTGGGGGGGGAGGAGCTAGGGTCTGACGGGGAGTTCCACGCCTCCTCTAAAGTCTACCGCTACGACCCCCGCCAGAACTCCTGGCTACGCATGGCTGACATGTCTGTACCCAGGTCTGTAGTTGTCAGTTCCCAGGTGTGACATGGTTTCATGTTTGTACAAGATCTATTAGGTGCATAATTTATATAAATAAAAATAGGGGGGGAAAGTGTCATTTTAATTTTTTATGTCTTCACTTCCAGGTCAGAGTTTGCAGTGGGGGTCATCGGTAAGTTCATCTACGCGGTGGCTGGGCGGACGCGGGATGAGACGTTCTACTCCACGGAACGCTATGACATCACGGCGGACCGCTGGGAGTTTGTGGATCCGTACCCAGTCAACAAGTACGGTCACGAGGGCACGGTCCTGAATGGGAAACTCTACATCACCGGAGGAATCACTTCCTCATCCACCTCTAAACAGGTGTGTGTGTTCGACCCGGGGTGGGACACGGGGGGAGGGATGTGTCTATTCGACCCGGGTCGGGACGTGGGGGGAGGGGTGTGTGTGTTCGACCCTGGGCGGGACGCGGGGGTAGGGGTGTGTGTGGCGGGCTCTGCAGGAGCAGGAACAACGGACACACACAGGACGCGTTCAGCCCGCACCCCCCTCCTCCCCAACACACACACACCCACCAGCTCCTGGGAGAACAAGTCGAAGATGAATTACGCTCGCTGCTTCCACAAGATGATCTCCCACAACGGGAAGCTATACGTGTTCGGGGGGGTGTGTGTGATCCTCCGGGCGTCGTTCGAGTCGCAGGGCTGCCCATCCACGGAGGTCTACGACCCTGAGACAGATGAGTGGACCATCCTGGCGTCAATGCCCATCGGGCGCAGTGGGCACGGCGTGGCGGTGCTGGACAGACAGATCATGGTACTGGGGGGCCTCTGCTATAACGGACATTACTCTGACTCCATCCTCACCTTTGACCCCGATGACAACAAGTGGAAGGAGGATGAGTATCCCAGGATGCCTTGCAAACTGGACGGGCTGCAGGTCTGCACTCTGCACTTCCCTGAGTACGTCCTGGAGCACGTCCGGCGCTGCAGCTGAGGTCTGGTGCAGTTCAGACACAACCTTTTTAAAGGTTTGGGAACACCCCCCCCCTTTAAGACAGACTCCTCCAGGCTCCAGGCTCCAGGTGTGGGCCGGGCGGTGGAGGATCTGTGTTTACAGGTGTGACACTAACGCTCTAACACAGAAGCTTTTCAACTAGGTACAGACTGAACTAAACATGCCATAGTAATCTGTCCTCACGGGCAGAAAATGGAGCTGCGGTAGTGATCAGTGGTGTGATAGTTTTCAAAATAAGCTTTTCAGAAAAAAAGGAAAAATTATGATAAATAATTTTTCATGATTCAGCTGTCTTATTTTGGACTGAGGTCAGTTTCGTATTGTTGTTATTATGATTATGTTTCAGCCTACAGTCCTACAAGCCCTGTCTGTCTGAAAGAATGTGTATAAACCCTGGATGACTGACAAGGGGGGCGCTGTATTGAAGCCATTTTGGTACTCCATTGTAAAAAAAAAAAAAAGGATTTTGTAAGCTATAGAAATACATTTATTAATGTCTACACATGTTTTTTACAAGTATATTATATTAATATAATATATATATATATATACAGTGGGGGAAAAAAATATTTAGTCAGCCACCAATTGTGCAAGTTCTCCCGCTTAAAAAGATGACAGAGGCCTGTAATTTTCATAATAGGTACACGTCAACTATGTCAGACAAATTGAGGGAAAAAAATCCAGAAAATCACATTGTAGGATTTTTTATGAATTTATTTGCAAATTATGGTGGAAAATAAGTATTTGGTCACCTACAAACAAGCAAGATTTCTGGCTCTCACAGACCTGTAACTTCTTCTTTAAGAGGCTCCTCTGTCCTCTACTCGTTATCTGTATTAATGGCATCTCTTTGAACTTGTTATCAGTATAAAAGACACCTGTCCACAACCTCAAACAGTCACACTCCAAACTCCACTATGGCCAAGACCAAAGAGCTGTCAAAGGACACCAGAAACAAAATTGTAGACCTGCACCAGGCTGGGAATACTGCATCTGCAATAGGTAAGCAGCTTGGTTTGAAGAAATCAACGGTGGGTGCAATTATTAGAAAATGGAAGACATACAAGACCACTAATAATCTCCCTCGACCTGGGGCTCCACGCAAGATCTCACACCGTGGGGTCAAAATGATCACAAGAACGGTGAGCAAAAATCCCAGAACCACACGGGGGGACCTAGTGAATGACCTGCAGAGAGCTGGGACCAAAGTAACAAAGCCTACCATCAGTAACACACTACACCGCCAGGGACTCTCATCCTGCAGTGCAAAACGTGTCCCCCTGCTTAAGCCAGTACATGTCCAGGCCCGTCTGAAGTTTGCTAGAGTGCATTTGGATGATCCAGAAGAGGATTGGGAGAATGTCATATGGTCAGATGAAACCAAAATAGAACCTTTTGGTAAAAACTCAACTCGTCGTGTTTGGAGGACAAAGAATGCTGAGTTGCATCCAAAGAACACCATACCTACTGTGAAGCATGGGGGTGGAAACATCATGCTTTGGGGCTGTTTTTCTGCAAAGGGACCAGGACGACTGATCCGTGTAAAGGAAGGAATGAATGGGGCCATGTATCGTGAGATTTTGAGTGAAAACCTCCTTCCATCAGCAAGGGCATTGAAGATGAAACGTGGCTGGGTCTTTCAGCATGACAATGATCCCAAACACACCGCCCGGGCAACGAAGGAGTGGCTTCGTAAGAAGCATTTCAATGTCCTGGAGTGGCCTAGCCAGTCTCCAGATCTCAAACCCATAGAACATTTTTGGAGGGAGTTGAAAGTCTGTGTTGCCCAGCGACAGCCCCAAAACATCACTGCTCTAGAGGAGATCTGCATGGAGGAATGGGCCAAAATACCAGCAACAGTGTGTGAAAACCTTGTGAAGACTTACAGAAAACGTTTGACCTGTCTCATTGCCAACAAAGGGTATATAACAAAGTATTGAGAAACTTTTGTTATTGACCAAATACTTATTTTCCACCATAATTTTTTAATAAATTCATTAAAAATCCTACAATGTGATTTTCAGGATTTTTTTTCCTCATTTTGTCTGTCATAGTTGACGTGTACCTATGATGAAAATTACAGGCCTCTCTCATCTTTTTAAGTGGGAGAACTTGCACAATTGGTGGCTGACTAAATACTTTTTTCCCCCACTGTATATATATACGTTTAAATTATATTATGTGAACTGAACATAAAAAAATTAAACAACGTTTATAAAAAAACATATTCCTTAAAGTAAATTGTTTAGAGAGTACTAATGTTACTGTCCCCACTACAACAAGGAAATACTTAAATACATGTAATTTTGTCTTTGAAACATTTTATTGAAATACATTTCATTGGCCAATACATAGCATCAGCAATCCAGGGTTTATACATCATTGGCCAATACATAGCATCAGCAATCCAGGGTTTATACATCATTGGCCTGAACCATGTCTGTCTGTATGTCTCCACCATGCTGTGTCATCGTCATGTGATGTCATGCAGTCTCTCTGTAACCCCCTCTCTGATGCCGCTTTCAAGACAACTGGGAACTCGGAAATCTCCTACCTCTGACTTCAGTGCGTTCAAGACAACTGGGAACTCTGGGGGGGGGGGGGGGGGGGGGCGTGGACAAGCTCCAACTGGGGAAAAATAGTTTAACGGTCATCCAACTCGGAATTCCAAGTCGGAAACTCTGGGATCATCCTAAAGCTCAGACTTTCCAATTTGAAGATCATTGACGTCATGATTTGACCTTCCCAGTTCACTTGAAAGCACCATTAGTCTGTGGAGCTGGAGTGTGTGTGTGTGTGTGTGTGTGTGTGTATGATACATGAATGAGCAGAGTGAGATAAAAGAGAAAACATATGCTCTCATCACACTAGTGGGCATGTGAGAAGGAAGATCATGGTGATGATTTAGCATTGTCATGACTACACTGCAATAACACTGTTCTGCTGACTGAGAGAGCCATGTAAGAGTTCAGAGGTTAGGGATGACCGCAGTGTGAAGGTCCCTGTCTCTCTGGCAGTACTGTATTTAAGATTACACTTTATTTATTGATGTTAACCGTCTGCTCTGAGTGTTACTGTGGCTGACTACTGGAGGGTGTTTTAAATGGTAGCAGCAGGTAGTTGGCCACAGAACTGTACTAAACAACCTTAGATTTTTTCTTTTAAAAGAGGAAAGAACAAGTTGATACAGAAAATAAAATGAGTTCATATTAAAGATAAACATGAAATAGGCTCAATACTCAATACTCCCAGGAACTCATTAACTATTTTTGCCTAATCAAAAGTTGATATTTTGAGTGTCAAAAGTTATCTGGCTAATTTATGGATCCTACTTTGTAAAGCCCTACCCTGGCTTAGTCCTGACTGTCTGTCTCACTGAGCCAGCTGCAGCTTATGAACCTGCTCATCTCTCTCTTTCATCTTTTCATGAGCAACAATGAAAAGGGCTAAAGCACGTTCTTCTGCAGTTCTGTCTGTCACCCCTTTTTGTATGCGTGTTTATCCAACATCCATCCACCACCAGCTAACTCTGTGTGACTGTGGTTGGGAATGGGATGTTGGGCTGATATGATTTGCATTGCAATAGAGCGTAGTCTTTGATACTTTGAGAGAGAGAGATTGGTGTCAGTCTTTCTCTGATTCTACACCTCTCCCTCTACTTTCCCTCCCTCCCTCCTCTACGCAGCGTCCTCCTGCCTACACTCACGGCTCTATTCAATCAAACCCGCAGTGCAGTATTTATGCAGTAGCATACAAACATGCCTTTTCCCCCCCACAGTCAGATAGAGTCAATAAGCTGTTTGTGGTACTGTATAAATACCAGGTAGACCCCCCTCACAGGTAGGTGGCTCCATTTGACAGAATAAGATGTGTGCGTGCTGTGGGCAGTAGTGTATAAACAGGGACTGTTAACATCACTAAGGCAGCTTAGATGTAATATGGTCTTCTGTCATCATCTCCCATCTCTGTCTGTTTTGTGTGAATATTTTCTCATGTGAAAATTACTATCAATATCATGAACACTAAGGCCCAGTTGGTTTTCCAGACATAAACCTACTTCTGGGCTAAAAAGTAATGCGCAATAGAGAAACTCCACTGAAAGTGTTTTTTTTTTTTTGTCCAATATTATGCCAAACTTCAGTCTTTAAACAGAGGTCTCCCTCTGCTGTTCAACATGTGTATGTACTACTGCTGTTTTTGTTTAGGACATGGCTTGTCTATCTGTCTGTATGTCTGTTTGTCATAGCTCAGCATTTATAATCAACCCTCAGTCTCAGTAGGATAAAATAATAGAATATCGAGGCTAAAAACACCCTGTACGATGACTGTATTTAAAAAGATAAATCAGACAAACAATATATTTACTATAATCTGAGTAGACACTGCTGTTTGGAACACTTTGTAATTTCTATCCAGAAATAAATGTTCATACTGTTAAGCTTTTCAGCTTTGCTTGAGTGTTTTAATGAGTGTGTTGGCAGTGGTGTAAAGTACTTAAGTAAAAATCTTTAAAGTACAACTAGGTCGTTTTTTGGGGGGTATCTGTACTTTATTATTTATATTTGACAACTTTTACTTCACTACATTCCTATAAATTTTCCCTGACACCCAAATGTACTCGTTACATTTTGAATGCTTAGCAGGACAGGAAAATTGTCAAATTCACGCACTTATCAAGATAACACGTGGTCATCCCCACTGCCTCTGATCTGGCGGACTCACTAAACACATGCATCTTTTGTAAATTATGTTGGAGCGTGCCCCTGGCTAGCCGTACATTTTAAAAACAAGAAAATGGTGCCATCTGCTTAATATTTGAAATTATTTATACTTTTACTTTTGATACTTAAGTATATTTAGAACCAAATACTTTTAGACTTTTACTCAAGTAATTTTCTATTAAGGTATCTATACTTTTACACAAGTATGACAAATGTGTACTTTTTCCACCACCGTGTTGGGGAAAAGTGTATGGTGTGCTCGCCTGTGACGCTCACTATAGTGTGCGACCACCATATGTCGCTGTTGAAATGATCATCGTTCTACAATTGCGGATTCTGGTGTTTTTGTCCTGGTTCGAGTTGCCGTACAAAAGCAAAGTCACCAGGAAGTGAAATGTCAAACGTTGGGAAGCTGGTAATGGTTAAACTTTTCTCTTGTATGATACATTCAGGTTATCTTAGAATAGTACAGACGTAGCTAATGGCAGACTACAATATGACAACAGTAAAATACTGTTTAAAAGAGTGATGTTGGTTGAGCTGAGCATGGGATAGCTAGCTAATGTCAGCCTCAGCAAACCAAACCACTAACTTACTACAGTAGTGTGGCCAGGGTCAATGATATTAACATAGAAGGGGTTAGTTAAAAATATATTTTACATTAACGTTAGCTAGCTAGCCATATTTATGACTAGCTAAAAGAGAAGACGTTTTACGATCTGAATTCGAGATCAAAAATAATGAATCGTAAAACGTATTTTTATTCATAAATATGGCCATGGCATTAACGTTACTGGACAAAACGGGTGTGTCACAGTATTAAAAAAAAAAACACACTTGTACCTAACGTTAAATGTATTCTTGATTTTGTGCAAAACGTTGCCCTTGTTATGTAAGCTAACGTTAGTGTAACTTACTTCCTATACCTGTCATGAATGTCCTGACTCTTGCCATGCAGTTACCCATTTACCATAAAGTAATGATCCTGCGTCATGATGTGTAACCGCTGCTAGGTGCCGCTGTCTGCCGCTGTGTCAGGGGTCCTGGGTCTGATGACGGGCACTGCGACTGTCCTGGCCACCAGCGAGGTCAAGAAGAAACCCGCAGCTCAGAGTCTCAGTATTGAAGAGGTAGCTGGTATGGCTGTCCTGTCCCCTCTCCTGTCCAGGAACAATTATTTGGCAGTTATATGAAGGGACAGATGACATGCGTGTCCAATCTTATCTGCTAATAAGAGCTGTTTGGGTGGGGTGCAGGCTCCCACAAGCCACTTTGCAGATACAATTACTTGGACAGGACAACGTTACTGTAGGCTGCTCGATTTGAAATGTGTGTGTGTTGCAGCTCCCGTCCCTGTATGTTACTCCAGAGCCGCAGCTCAGGTATGTGGAGCCAGAGGTGGGGCCAGTGGAACGAGGCGTGGCCGAACTGAGGAAATGGGCCGAGCCTTACACTAACCAGTGTCAGGTACACCTCTCTCCCTCTGTCCCCCATACATACAGTGCATTCGGAATGTATTCAGACCCCTTGACTTTTTCCACATTTTGTTACGTTACAGCCTTATTCTAAAATGTATTAAATACACATCTTTCCTCATCAATCTACACACAATACCCCATAATGACAAAGCGAAAACAGGTTTTTAGAAATGTTTACAAATTTAATTTAAAAAAATTACTTACCTTATTTACATAAGTATTCAGACCCTTTGCTATGAGACTCGAAATTTAGCTCAGGTGCATCCTGTTTCCATTGATCATCCTTGAGATATTTCTACAACTTGATTGGAGCCCACCTGGGGTAAATTCAATTGATTGGACATGATTTGGAAAGGCACACACCTGTGTATATAAGGTCCCACAATTGAAAGTGCTTGTCAAAGCAACAACCAAGCTATGAGGTCGAAGGAATTGTCCGTAGAGCTCCGAGACGACAGGATTGGGTCGAGGCACAGATTTGGGGAAAGGAATGGAAGAAGTTTGGAACCACCAAAACGCTTCCTAGAGCTGGCCGCTTGGCTAAACTGAGCAATCGGGGGAGAAGGGCCTTGGTCAGGGAGGTGACCAAGAACCCGATGGTCACCCTGACAGAGCTCCAGAGTTCCTCTGTGGAGATGGGAGAACCTTCTAGAAGGACAACCATCTCTGCAGCACTCCACCAATCAGGCCTTTATGGTAGAGTGGCCAGATAGAAGCCACTCCTCAGGAAAAGGCACATGACAGCCTGCTTGGTGTTTGCCAAAAGGCACCTAAAGGACTCTCAGACCATGAGAAACAAGATTCTCTGGTCTGATGAAACCAAGATTTAACTCTTTGGCCTGAATGCTAAGTGTCACGTCTGGAGGAAACCTGGCACCATCCCTACGGTGAAGCATGGTGGTGGCAGCATCATGCTGTGGGATTTGTTTTTCAGCAGCAGGGACTGGGAGACTAGTCAGGATCAAGGGAAAGATGAACGGAGGAAAGTGCAGAGAGTTCCTTGATGAAAACCTCCCCCAGAGTGCTCAGGACCTCAGACTGGGGCGAAGATTCACCTTCCAACAGGACAATGACCCTAAGCACACAGCCAAGACAACGCAGGAGTGGCTTCGGGACAAGTCTCTGAATGTCCTTGAGTGGCCCAGCCGGAGCCCGGACTTGAACCTGATCGAACATCTCTGGAGAGACCTGAAAATAGCTGTGCAGCGACGCTCCCCATCCAACCTGACAGAGCTTGAGAGGATCTGCAGAGAATAATGATAGAAACTCCCCAAATACAGGTGTGCCAAGCTTGTAGCGTCATACCCAAGAAGACTCGAGGCTGTAATCGCTGCCAAAGGTGCTTCAACAAAGTACTGAGTCAGAATACTAATGTAAATGTAATAATTCCATTTTTTATTTTTAGTACATTTGCAAACATTTCTAGAAACCTGTTTTTGCTTTGTCATTATGGGGTATTGTGTGTAGATTGATGAAAAAAATGTAATCCGTTTTAGAATAAGGCTGTAACGTAACAAAATGTGGACAAAGTCCAGGGGTCTGAATACTTTCCGAATGCACTATGTCTCTTACTTACCTGTCAACTAGAACACAATGGGTGAATTTAGGCAATCTCAAGTGGCATCTCTCTCATTTTCTTTTGGAATCCTCAGATTTAAGGTTTGTGGTAATAGTTCTTGTTTTCCTGTAGGAAACGGGTCTGGTTGCCCTGGAGAAAGCCGAGGTAGGTGACAGACACTGTCTACTAAGACTAGACACACTAACATACACACAATGAGTTGTGACTCATCCTAATGGCTGGAACGGAATATATGGAATGGTATCGAACTCGTTAAACACATGGTTTCCACACCATTCCATCCCAGCCATTATTATGAGCTGTCCTCCCCTCAGCAGCCTCCTGTGATTGAAGCATAGATTAAGGTTCTCTCTATCTCCTCTTTGTGATGTCATATCCTGTGAAACAGGAGGTCTACAGGACTGTAGAGCCCACTGTGAGCGCCTCCATCAGGACAGTGAGAGGTGAGAAGACACATATATCATGCAGAGACCTTCAATAACACACCACATTACATACACATAGTTAAAACGGTGTGTCCTCTCTCTGTCTCTCTTTCCTCTTAGAGACATATGAGTTCCTCAGTGATCCTCCTCCTGACCTCTATCCCAGCGTCGGGGTGATTGGCTTCTCTGGCTTCTTAGGATTGTACCTGGCCAAAGGTAATGTGTGCACAACTAATTGACCGACGTCGGTTCAATTATTCGGATTCCATTTAGTTCTTTATTTTCTTCTGTGAGCTCAGTATGCCATTACTCTAGAGAGAAATCAAATCAAGCAAGAACTCTGCCATGTAGTAGGAAGTTGTAGTTTCAACAGGCCAAAATTTAACAGTCATTAACTACAATGACCAGAATCCATTGCGCACAGCTGCCACTTGTCCTGGCATGTCTGTAGATGGCTGGCTGGCTCCTACAGCCTGAGCAGAGATGAGATGATGACTTGGAATGAAATAATAAAGTGATAAAATAAAAAGTAGGATACACAACTGAAAAAAAGTATTAAAGCTAGAATCCTTAGTTGCTACATCCATTGATATACACTACAATATGTGGACACCCCTTCAAATTAGTGGATTCGGCAATTTCAGCCACACCTGTTGCTGACAGGTGTATAAAATCGAGCGCATAGCCATGCAATCTCCATAGACAAACATTGGCAGTAGAATGGCCCGTACTGAAGAGCTCAGTGACTTTCAACGTGGCATCGCCATAGGATGCCACCTTTCCAACAAGTCCGTTTGTCAAATTTCTGCCCTGCTGGAGCTGCCCCTGGTCAACTGTAAGTGCTGTTATTGTGAAATGGAAACGTCTAGGAGCAACAATGGCTCAGCCATGAAGTGGTAGGCCACACAAGCTCACAGAACGGGACCGCTGAAGCGTGTAGCGCAACACTCACTACCGAGTTCCAAACTGCCTCTGGAAGCAACGTCAGCACAATAACTGTTAGTCGGGAGCTTCATGAAATGGGTTTCCATGGCCGAGCAGCTGCACACAAGCCTAAGATCACCATGCGCAATACCAAGCGTCGGCTGGAGTGGTGTAAAGCTCGCCGCCATTGGGAGCAGTGAAAACGCGTTCTATGGAGTGATGAATCAAGCTTCACAATCTGGCAGTCCGACGGACAAATCTGGGTTTGGCGGATGCCAGGAGAACGCTACCTGCCCGAATGCATATTGCCAACTATAAAGTTTGGTGGAGGAAGAATAATGGTCTGGGGTTGTTTTTCATGGTTCGGGCTAGGCCCCTTAGTTCCAGTGAAGGGAAATCTTAACGCTACAGCATATAATGACATTATAGACGATTCTGTGCTTCCAACTTTGTGGCAACAGTTTGGGGAAGGTCCTTTCCTGTTTCAGCATGACAATGCCCCCGTGCACAAAGTGATGTCCATACAGAAATGCGTTGTCGAGATCGTTGTGGAAGAACTTGACTGTCCTGCACAGAGTCCTGACCTCAACCCCATCGAACACCTTTGGGATGAATTGGAACGTTGACTGCAAGCCAGGCGTAATCACCCAACATCAGTGCCCGACCTCACTAATGCTGGCTGAATGGAAGCAAGTCCCCGCAGCAATGTTCCAACATCTAGTGTAAAGCCTACCCAGAAGAGTGGAGGCTGTTGGAACAGCAAAGGGGGGACCAACTCCATATTAATACCCATGATTTTGGAATGAGATGTTTGAAGAACAGGTGTCCACATACCTTTGGCCATGTAGTGTATGTACACATTGATTCTTAAAGAATATAACTTATAAATGCCACATGAGCTTAGTTCAACTGTCGTACCCCGTCAGAACCCAAAATAGAAGCTTGTTTTACTCCAATGTTTGTAAACAATGTCTAAATGTAAACACTGTTTAGCCTCAACTATACTTTCGATATCATGGATGGTCAGTACTTGCATCCATGCCTCTGTCTATGAATTTGAGAGTGGTTACATTTCTCCAGGCCCATCCCTCACCTTTTTACCACATTCTAGCTTTAAAGTAATGTGAATAAATGACGGTTAATAAGTGATAAGCAGTAATGGGCAGTCACTACCATCATTGGACTTTTATTAATTGTTTAATTTTGTGTTGTTACAGCATTCAACCCACAATGCATTTATTGTAAAAAAAAATAATAATAATAATCTAAATCTAAAACCTTGACTATTTTTCTAAAACCAAACTGAAACTGAACCGACCTCAAAAAGCAGTAATCGCTCAGCACTATTCTTGTCTCTAGGTTCCAGGGTGAAGAGGCTGGTGTTTCCTGTCGGGCTGATGGCTCTTACTGCTTCCATGTTCTACCCCCAGCAGGCTTCCTCCTTAACCAAGGTCTGTGTGTGTGTGTGTGGTGCAATGTTAGTGTTTTCCACCCCTTTTTCGCCTCTCTCCCCAATGGGAAGGGCTGTGGTTTCCTGTAGGAAGTTCTGGCTGTGAAATAAGAGTGTTTGTGTGTGGGGAGGGTATGTGATTGATAGTCTGCCCTTTTGGTTTCAAAGCAGGGTGCCCTATTCTGGTGTGGATTCCTGGGATATTTTAGGCCTGTTTAATGTTGTTGTCTGAGAGAGGCACACCCAGAGAGAGAGAGGATACAGGTGTGTGTTTCTGTGTGCCACAACACAGCCAGATCAGACCGACAGGGGGATGAGAACAGAGGATGATATAGAAGCAGGATAGGAAAGTGATGATTAGACAGCAGTTCCGAGTTGAGGTAGGATGGAAAGCTGTGACCTCTGACTGGTCACTGGGGGTGTTTTAATGGCTGTAGTTCTGTGAGTTTTGTGTTTGTGACATTTTGGGACACTAGAAGTGTTGTTTATGGGCACTAAATCTGTCAGATGGTTTGTCTGATTGAGGTCAGGACTCCTATACTCTACTGCCCCATGTACACGTACACACGCACACACACACACACACACACACACACACACACACACACACACACACACACACACACACAATGTTTGATGTTTCCATTCCATATTTCCATTTTGTGTGTGGTTGTCTCCATCTCAGGTGAGCAGGGACTCTGTGTACAGCTGGAGTCAGCAGGGTCGGGATGCTGTGGAGACGCTCTGGAAGGACCTGCCGTTTGGCAAGGGCAAGGTTAGTCATCATGACAAGGAATCGAGGAAAGATGTTTGACATTCAGCTGAGGGTGTGTTCAGTAAAAATGAAGTGTATTCCTTCTTCCTGTTTCCCCTCAGGCAGGCTGAGAAGACCGAGGACAAGAGCACTGCTAGCTGAGACAGAGAGAGCCTGGACATATCACCTGGCTGTCACACACACACACACACACACACAATGCACCTGAAGAGTGCACCCAGAGTCATATACAGAGTTCATAAAACTGGGTTTGAGATTTTGAACGTTAATGGCATCAAAGTTCCCAAAACAATCACATTTTTGTTGTGTCATGGAACATTTGGTTCAAACGTGGAGGATAGGTTATACTTGGAGCCCAACGGGTATATCATTTCACCGATATAATTCGCCGATATTGGCTGTGCATGCATGTTTGTGTTCATGTTGTTGTCCTAATGTTGTGTCAGAATCTGTGTGAGTTTGAGGAGAACAAGGGCCTGAGGGCCAGCATCAATCCACACCTAGGAACACCACGATTGAACACACACACACACACACACTCACCATGCCATTGGCACCTTATTTGTTTAATGAAATTGTGAAATCATAAATGGCTGATGTGAATATAGGGGATTAGGATTCTTGGCATGATAACAATGATTGTCAGAGGAGTTGGACTGCAAGTTCCGACAGAATCGCCTATATTCACAACAGCCCTATTTTCCTGATAGTATTTCCCTAGGTGGTGTAGGTGTGCCACAAAGCTCCTCGAGGTGCACTTAGTGTTGGCACACGAAACAAAAAAGTATTAGAATTTTGGAGCCAAATGTGCATATACTTGTCTGAGGAGGTTACATCATGTCATCCCACCCACCAGTGGTGAGAGCCTGTTATTACCATAATCTACTGTATGTCTAATTTGTTTGGAACCAGGCTCTTGTCGTACATTTTTGTTTTGTTTTCAATGATATAACCTGGATTACTAGAGGTGAAATAAACTCTGTATGTAGGTCTGGGTGTACTGTACCAGTGTGGATAGAATACACATTCAACACCCCTATGTACACAGCACCTCCATGATGTACACCCCCCCTAAACAGAGCACCTTAACATACCTCTATCTCTCTCCTGTAACATGATACATCACATTCCCTCTTGCTCTGTTACCATGCCAACCTGTTGTAACCATGCCAACGGACACAGTAGACTCCTGTCAGCTGTCCTCTGATCTCATTTCTGTGTTTGTCTAAACCTTATTGCTCATGCTGGTTTGTTTTGGTGATATTTATGTATTTATTTCTAAAGACATTCCCTCATCATTGATCCACTACAGAGTGCACTACGGTAACATTACATAAATTATTTCAAAAGTTAAAGATATACTTCTACTACAGAATAATATTTAAACATGGTGGTGTATATTTTTTAAAGTATTTTGTGTTTCAGGTGATGATTTTCATTTTGAATTGGTTGATTTTGTATTGATTGTCTGTCCCCAGAAAACGACTGTCTAAAAACAGAGATATGGTCCTAATAAATCAAACTCACATCTGATTGTGATTGTGTTATTACAGTTAAACTTCAGTGCATATTTACTGGTATTGGGTATATGGAAAGTCGTGGTCTGTGTATGCCTCTAGCATTCTCACAAAGAGAGGAACAGAGAGAGGGTAGTCTGTCCATACTCGATGGGGTAAGTGGGTCATGCCGGAAGGCTGTTTTACCAGATGTGTGTTGGTTATTAAAACAGGGATTGATCTTACCTCCCTGTAAAACCATTTAACCATAAAACGTACATACAGAGAAAAAGATAGGCGAGGAACTACTGCAACTTTCAAGCCCGGTCCCACATTTTATGTGCTTTAGCCAACTCCTCTACCAATACTTACTGATGGGACCACTGCTGTAATCCTGTGGTGGGAGTTGGACAAAATGTTCACTACAGTTGTTTTGAAGTAGACAGTCCAGTTTCCTTCCACAGTGAGGGTGAGCGAGCTTGTGGGGTAGGTGAGTTGGGGGTGGGAGTGTGTCTGTTGGTGTGACTTGACCCTTGACCTTAACCGTCATGCCGTGGGGTGTGTGACTCACTGGGGTCATGTTTGCGTGGCTGTGAATGCCTGTGTACAATAATTTGTGTGTCTATTTGTGCAACAGAGTGGTGAACACCTGTGCTAGAATAGAACATTGTGTTGTTTAGTTTGAAAAGGGTTAGAAAAGTTCTCTAAAGGCCCCATGGGGAGTTAGTGTTTAATCTCCCTGGTGTGTCTTTAAATAGATAGAAACATCACAGGCTCTCTCTCTCTCAGCCTCAGCCAATGGTTAATCAGTAACGGGGCACCGGTTAGAGCTCTGGATATAAACAAGTCAGGTTCGAAGGTCAGCGAGGCTCATGGATGAAAATATTATTCCCTGTCTGGCGATAAAGGATGCCGACTCTTTTTTCCATCCCTCTATTCTTCTCTATCGACATCTACAGCGCATTCGGAAAGTATTCAGACCCCTTGACTTTTTCCACATTTTGTTACGTTACAGCCTTATTCTAAAATTGATTAAATTGTTTGTTTTTCCCCTCATCAATCTACACACAATACCCCAAAATGACAAAGCGAAAACAGGTTTTGGAAAGTTTTGCACATTTATAAAAAGAATTAACTGAAATATCAGATTTACATAAGTATTCAGACCCTTTCCTCAGTACTTAGTTGAAGCACCTTTGGCAGCGATTACAGCCTCGAGTCCTCTTGGGTATGATGCTACAAGCTTGGCACACCTGTATTTGGGGAGTTTCTCCCATTCTTCTCTGCAGATCCTCTCAAGCTCTGTCAGGTTGGATGGGGGAGCGTAGCTGCACAGCTATTTTCAGGTCTCGCCAGAGATGTTCGATCGGGTTCAAGACCGGGCTCTGGCTGGGCCACTCAAGGACATTCAGAGACTTGTCCCGAAGCCACTCCTGCATTGTCTTGGCTGTGTGCTTAGGGACGTTGTCCTGTTGGAAGGTGAACATTTGACCCAGTCTGAGGTCCTGAGCGCTCTGGAGCAGGTTTTCATCAAGGATCTCTCTGTACTTTGCTCCGTTCATCTTTCCCTCGATCCTGACTAGACTCCCAGTCCCTGCCACTGAAAAACATCCCCACAGCATGATGTTGCCACCGCCATGCTTCACCCTAGGGATGGTGCCAGGTTTCCTCCAGACGTGATGCTTGGCATTCAGACCAAAGAGTTCAATCTTGGTTTCATCAGACCAGATAATCTTGTTTCTCATGGTTTGAGAGTCCTTTAGGTGCCTTTTGGCAAACTCCAAGCGGGCTGTCATGTACCTTTTACTGAGGAGTGGCTTCTGTCTGGCCACTACCATAAAGGCCTGATTGGTGGAGTGCTGCAGAAATGGTTGTCCTTCTGGAAGGTTCTCCCATCTCCACAGAGGAACTCTGGAGCTCTGTCAGAGTGACCATTGGGTTCTTGGTCACTTCCCTGACTAAGGCCCTTCTCCCCCGATTGTTTAGTTTGGCTGGGCGGCCAGCTCTAGGAAGAGTCTTGGTGGTTCCAAACTTCTTCCATTTAAGAATGATGGAGGCCACTGTGTTCCTGGGGACCTTCAATGATGCAGAATTTTTTTGTACCTTTCCCCAGATCTATGCCTCGACTCAATCCTGTCTCGGAGCTCTACGGACAATTCCTTCAACCTCATGCCTTGGTTTTTGCTCTGACATGCACTGTCAACTGTGGGACCTTACAGTGAGGGAAAAAAGTATTTGATCCCCTGCCGATTTTGTACATTTGCCCACTGACAAAGACATGATCAGTCTATAATTTTAATGGTAGGTTTATTTGAACAGTGAGAGACAGAATAACAACAAAACAATCCAGAAAAACGCATGTCAAAAATGTTATACATTGATTTGCATTTTAATGAGGGAAATAAGTATTTGACCCCTCTGCAAAACATGACTTAGTACTTGGTGGCAAAACCCTGGTTGGAAATAACAGAGGTCAGACATTTCTTGTAGTTGGCCACCAGGTTTGCACACATCCCAGGAGGGATTTTGTCCCACTCCTCTTTGCAGATCTTCTCCAAGTCATTAAGGTTTCGAGGCTGACGTTTGGCAACTCGAACCTTCAGCTCCCTCCACAGATTTTCTATGGGATTAAGGTCTGGAGACTGGCTAGGCCACTCCAGGACCTTAATGTGCCTCTTCTTTAGCCACTCCTTTGTTGCCTTGGCCGTGTGTTTTGGGTCATTGTCGTGCTGGAATATCAATCCACGACCCATTTTCAATGCCCTGGCTGAGGGAAGGAGGTACTCACCCAAGATTTGACGGTACATGGCCCCGTCCATCGTCCCTTTGATGCGGTGAAATTGTCCTGTCCCCTTAGCAGAAAAACACCCCCAAAGCATAATGTTTCCACCTCCATGTTTGACGGTGGGGATGGTGTTCTTGGGGTCATAGTCAGCATTCCTCCTCCTCCAAACACGGCGAGTTGAGTTGATGCCAAAGAGCTCGATTTTGGTCTCATCTGACCACAACACTTTCACCCATTTCTCCTCTGAATCATTCAGATGTTCATTGGCAAACTTCAGACGGCCCTGTATATGTGCTTTCTTGAGCAGGGGGACCTTGCGGGTGCTGCAGGATTTCAGAGCTTCACGGCGTAGTGTGTTACCAATTGTTTTCTTGGTGACTATGGTCCCAGCTGCCTTGAGATCATTGACAAGATCCTCCCGTGTAGTTCTGGGCTGATTCCTCACCTTTCTTATGATCATTGCAACTCCATGAGGTGAGATCTTGCATGGAGCCCCAGGCCGAGGGAGATTGACAGTTATTTTGTGTTTCTTCCATTTGCGAATAATCGCACCAACAGTTGTCACCTTCTCACCAAGCTGCTTGGCGGTGGTCTTGTAGCCCATTCCAGCCTTGTGTAGGTCTACAATCTTGTCCCTGACATCCTTGGAGAGCTCTTTGGTCTTGGCCATGGTGGAGAGTTTGGAATCTGATTGATTGATTGCTTCTGTGGACAGGTGTCTTTTTATACAGGTAACAAGCTGAGGTTAGGAGCACTCCCTTTAAGAGTGTGCTCCTAATCTCAGCTCGTTACCTGTATAAAAGACACCTGGGAGCCAGAAATCTTTCTGATTGAGAGGGGGTCAAATACTTATTTCCCTC